TCCATGGACTCAACTGAACCTGCAGCTTATTCCTATGGGGTCAAACAAAAGCATATAGGAAAAACTGCTCCATGAAGGCTGTGAATTTCTACATAGGTAGAATTTCCAGAGAGGTTCTCACATTCACATTAAAAGTCTGAAAAAGCTGCTTTGTCGCTCAGAGCTACAGTACATTATTTAAAAGAGCTTATATAGTTAGTTCCTCTCTGAATTGCTGAATGTATACATTGCTGAAATGAATTAAAAGTTTTTAATGAAAAGCTACAATTTAGCATTAGCATGGCATGAACAGAAACAGGATCATATGTTTATATTATTTTTTTAAAGATTAATATATTTTAGTTAGATATTTATCTACCATACAAATTACAAACTTCAGTAAGAATTAGTTGTTCATCTGGGGTAAAGTGACAAAGTTTACCTGAAGTAAAAGTATTATATTATACTTCATATCAACTGGTCCTAAACATTTATGAAACTCTAATGACATTAAAAGATGTGTAGATTATCTATATTAATTTAATTACTTTAATGTTAGAAAACACTGAAATTTAAATGGCTTCTAATAAAGCATTTAACGCTCTATTTATTTTTTTTTTAATATCAAACAGCTATGTAATAAAATGCATATAATATTTAAATATTTCCTAGAGCAACGGCTAAAAATCATTCATGCTCGTTCACTTTCCCAGTGAATCCCTGAACCCAAAACAGAACAAGGTCAGAAAGGACCAGACGCAACTGGGTGTTGTGGTGATCCTCTTTTCTCTTTCACCAATACAAATGGGTGAAAGAGAAAAGAGGATGGATGGAGCCTTGTTACTAGATTGGATATGCAGATAAAGACAATGAGTTATTATATTTTTTTCCCCACAGTTCTTAAACAGTTGTTCTCCCACATTGTTTCAGAGAAAATATAAAGTGTTTATTCTTTAGGCTGATGAATGTAATTAAAACTTGTTACTTAAAAGCCATTGCTTAAGATGTTAAAAATGACAAGTGTACTTAAAGACAACAATAATTTCACTGAAGCTATCAGAGAAAAAAAAAAAACAAAAACCAAAACCTAAAAAAAAGGAAACAAAAAACCCCAAACCAACCATTATTTTAAAATAATAAGCTTGCTGGCTTTGTTTTTTAGTAGTGTTTCTCTTAACAAAAAAATTTAATTGCAGATTAGTTTTTTTCTTGTACTTCTGTTGATAGATTTGAGGCAAGCAACATACATCATTAATTATATTGTGTAGGAGATCTCATTTCAAACAAGAGCTTTGTCTGACTGAGCTACCACAGCCTGTCTGATTGTTGTAGAATTGTGATTAAATGGAAATGATGCCCAGTAATATTGAACTTAATGTTATGTTTCCAAATACCATGAATAACATTATGGTAGCTTTAATGAATTTCATAGGAGAAAAATGTTGTTAAACGAAACAATAATATTAATTCTGTTGCCTTGGCCAAATTCAAATCTGGTTATTTGCATTCAGACACCTACTATTTCTCATTTGTTTGAATTTAAAATGTTTGAGTACCTCACTGTTTTTCCATTGATATGTTAGTGCTATATGTCATCAGCTCATTGCCATATGTCACCTGACTACCTCTCTTGACCATTCAAGTGCTTTAAATGAAGCTGTAACTACAATGCATGACCTTAAAAAGATTCCTTTCAACCTACCTTCCCACAGTTCATCAACTTGCTTAGATATTTTTTAACCTAACAAAAAACCTAACATTTTTTGTTAAACACAGAGCACAACTTCACATCCCATTTCTGAAATAATGAACTACTAAGTTCCATTAACATGTGCTTAAAGGTAGAGATGGCCTTCCGCGCACTAGTGCTTCAGTTTAGGTGAGAAAGACACTATGAGCAGTATCCCCTAATCACCTTCACTTGATCACGCTTTGCTTTGAATAGATGAGTGTTCTGTAAGAACATGATATGAACTATGGATTAAATTTAAGTAAAGATATGCTACAGGAGCACAATTTATATACATCTCAACACCAATCAATGTGTGAGACAATGGCCCTGGAGTACAGTTAGTCCAAAGTTAAAAATAAATTCCCAAAATGTTGACTTCAGAACAAACTGCTTTATTCTACAGCTCTATTCCTATTGGTTCATACTACTTGCTTATATAGACATGGCCATTTTCAAGTGCTTTATTCAAAGGAGCAGATCTGCATTGTATTGTCTTACTGGTCCAGGACTGGAGTGATGGATGAACTGTTCAGTGAATAAGAAATTGACTGGATGGTCTCATCCAAAGGATAGTGGTCAATGACTCAACGTCCAGATGGAAGACGGTGACAAATCGTGTCCCTCAAGGGTCCATACTGGAACCAGTGCTGTTTAATATCTTCATTAATTATATTGACAGTGGGATTGGGTGCACCCTCAGCAAATTCACTGACGACACCAAACAGGTGGTGCAGTCAGTGAGAGAGAGGGACAGGATGCCATCAAGACAGACCTGGACAGGCTGGAGAAGTGGGCCCAGGTGAACCTCATGAGGTTCAACAAGGCCAAGTCCTGCACCTAGGGTGGGACAATCCTTGTAATCGATACAGGTTCGGAGTGTGGAAAGCAACCCTGAGGAAAGGGACTTGGGGGTAGTAGCAAATGAAAAGCTGGACATGAGCCACCAATGCACATCTGCATCCCAGAAGGCCAACCACACCCTGGGCTACATCAAAAGAAGTGTGGCCAGCAGGACAGGAGAGGTGATTCTGCCTCTCTACTCTGCTTGGGTGAGACCTCATCTGGAGTACTGCCTCCAGCTTGGGAGCCCTCAACACAAGAAGGATGTGTACCTGTTGGAGTATTTTCAGAGAGCCACGAAAATGATCAGAAAGCTGGAGCATCTCTCCTATGAAGATAGGCTGAGAGTTGGGGCTGCTCAGCCTGGAGAAGAGAAGGCTCCAAGGGAACCTTAGAGCAGCCTTCAAGTACCTGAAAAGTGCCTATAAGAAAGCTGAGGAAGAACTGTTCACAAGGGCATGTAGTAATAGGATGAGGGGTAATGGCTTTAAACTAGAAAAGGGCAGATTTAGGTTGGATATTAAGAAAAAGTTCTTCAATATGAGAGTGGTAGATCATTGGAACAGGTTGCTCAGAGAGGTAGTGGAGGCCCTGTCCCTGGAGACATTCAAGGTCAGGCTTGATGGGGCTCTGAACAACCTGTTCTAGTGAAGGTGATGCTGCTTACTGCAGGGGGTTGGACTAGATGACCTTTGAGGGTCCCTTCTAACCCACTACATTCTATGATTCTACGATTCTTTGATGTAAGGGTGTCCCATGGATCAAAGTCTGGACTGCAGAATATTTGAGAAAAACCTTCTGACATTGCTCTACCTGTTGACAGTTGTAAAAAGCTTATGGAGGAAAAGATTCTGAAGACCTGATTCCTTGTTCATTGGAAACTTTTTAAAAAATATAGGACCATAATTTGGAATTAGATTGATATGCATTCAGGTAGGATCTTCAGTGACAATCATGTAAACCAGTTTTTTGTGAGTCTGTCACATCTCAAAAAAATAATTTTTAATATCATTCCCAAAAGCCTCCCCATACCCTTTAATCTTGAGTGCTGTTTGTGATATCCAATTCAGATATTCACACATGCTAATTTTCCTGTCTGGGAGACCAGACAAGATCAACAAGAGCGTGTGAAACATTTAAATCAAGCATACATTTTTTGTATGCATTGACAGAGATTAAGATATAAAAGCCCAACAAAACACAAGATCAGAGAGAGGTAGCACCAAATCATCACTGGAAGAGCATCTTCATACAGCTTAGTGCACGGAGTATTCCTGAAAACTTCATCTATAGGTAGCTAAAGGTAATCAATCATATCCTATTTCTGTTAGGATCAGGTGCAATGTCCTACTCTCTCTGCAGAACAACTGAATCCATATCCCTTCCCATCTGGCATATAATTACTCCAGAAGCTCCACAGATTGTACTGCATGTTGCACATGACTTGTTTGAAGCCTCAAGCTGTGTGGTAAACTGCAGCTGGATTGTCACCATTACGGTTTTGTCACAGTCTGATTTAGGGAGAAAGTCAATGATCTGGAAACAGATGTGAAGTTTTAAATGCACATTGTCAGACCTTCAGGACTAATTTCAGGACTAAAACTGCCTTGGATTTTCTTCAGGTAGAAGAATGAAGACAAAGAAATAGGAAGAAAAGTGACAAGATAAGTAGAAAAGAGTAGACAGGATCATGTAAGCACAGATGCTAATGAACTAAAAACCCCACCATTTTATTTAACTGTTACATATGTCTGCACAGAAGTCAGTCATTTGAAAGCAGTCGTAGTGTGTATAAAGAGCCTCTTAAGATTTCCATAGAGGATTTTTTTTTTTTTTTAATTTCTGATTAAGTTTAAGGATATTTTCCATTCAGTATCAGGTCACAATCAAGTCATTTCTAAGATGGTCTCTTCCTAACTCACTTCCTTGCACACACGTATCAGTACAAATCACAAGGAATAAGTGGAGAGGAAACAAAAGGAAAAGAGTGAGCAAAGATCACTAGAGTTTTAGAGAGCCCCAGCCAGTGCCCTCATAGTCAAATAAATCTATTGCTCTATGGGTTGTTGTGGCTCAAATCTTGTATACAAATCAAAGTGAATTAAAGTCTTGCATGTCCCCATCTTACCTGAACACTCTAAAAATACAGCCACTAGCTTTTCAGGCAAAGTTAATCTTGTACGCCTACATTTATATTCATTAAATTTTTAAATTATTTTATTTTTTTTAATCTTAGTTTGAGAAAACTTGGGGAAAAAAAAAAAAAAAAGCTAGTAACTTTCAAAGAAAACAGTTGTGTTGCCATGAAGATCCTGACTGAATCTTTTTCCATGTTGAACATATATATAACTTCCAACATAAATAGTGGGATTCCTTTTCAAGTTAAAATAAGGAACATCTGAATGTGATAGGTTACTTTACAATCCATAACACATGAATGAAAAGTACTTTAAGTTCTTAATTTCTTAACAATCCCAGTGTGTTGCTCTTTGATTAAACCCCATCTTGTGCTAATAATTCTCAGTAGTACTGTACAACATATGCTACAGAAATCCGTGAGGTAGCCAAGGAAAACCAAGCCAAAAACAGCAGAGAAGTTGTTTACCTGTCTGAATTCTTCAAGATCTATTTTGTTTCCCACCAGCACCAAGGGGATGTCATAGGTGTGCCGGACACGATAAATGAGTTCCTTAAACTCAGCAGCTTCTTGAAAGGATTGGCGGTCTGTGATGGAATAGCAGATAATGAAGCCTTCTCCACCTCGCATGTATTGATCCCTCATGGCTGTGAATTCTGCCTGTGGAATAGGAAGAACATGTTCAGTACTTTGGCAAACAAAATTATCCATCTGTAAATAACAAAATTGCTGGAAGCTTCCCATTCCCTACATAATTTGACATTGCTTATCTTACTGTTTTAAATACTACTTGCTGAAACTTGTGCATCCATCTAAGGTCATCATCCTCAATAATACACCATCATGATTTCTCTTTGGACTATTTTTCCTTTTACTATCAAGAGAACTCTGTCCCCTAAGAACATGAAAATGTCATGCCAGTGCTTGTATAAAGAAAATACTGTCTCATGTATTTCTAATACCTTTCATTGGTACCCATAGATGACTTGCAACTGAATGAATACTAACAGGTGTAAAAGAAGAGCTATATTGCTATCCAGGGATCAGAGACTTCTTAAGTTAAAAAGGAGTAATTAAAAAGCTCAGTAATATAAAAAAGACATTCACTGATTCCCACCAGCTTTGGAATAATGCCCAGTAAAACAGGAATATAATCTGCAAAAGGTTCTGCTCTTTCAAATGCTCTCAGAGAAACTGGGGGTTTCAGTTCAATGTGGGAAAATACCATTAAATGAAAATGAACAATTTAACATAGTGTGAGAATTGGCCTAATTTTCTCCTCCTGCATTTTCTCTTATTTATGCATGTATTAAGATTCATAGCAACACTTCTGGTTATTGGTATGTTTTTTTCAGAAGTATTTAACAAGTGCCACACTGTACAAAAATCAAGATCTAGTTTTTAAAAACTAGTGTCAGGTATTGTGGCTTGAGAATGTGTTTTAAAGCCCATTTATTTTTCAAGTTTGTTTGCTCTTCTTGATCACAGCCTGGAATAACCCAATACCATGGCAACAGTCGGTCAGGATCAGAATCCTCCTGACGGAATCAGTTCTCCAGAGATATTAAGATGCAGGAAGGTCTGATAAAGCAAGGAATACACATATCAACATTGGACCATTTCTATGAGCAGCAAGATGCAATATCAAGTCCTGTATTTTTTACTCTATTGAGAATTTAAGCCGGAAGTTTTAAAACAGTTTAAGTTATATATATATATATATATATATTCTCAGTTCTTGCTGAAAATTGAAGGGAAATGGATTGCTTATGCTCTCTTAAAAGTCACAGCCTTAAATCTCTCTCAATAGTCACTCATGTTGATTGATAATACTTCCTGTGAATAGACTTTTGTGTTGACCATTATCATTTATTCATGATGTATCTTTTACCCAAGGGCTTGCTTATGTATCATTCAAAATATTTCACCTGCTACAGGAAAAAGTTCATAGACTAAGCTCCAAAATAGCAGACTAATAGGCAATTTAAGGGTAAGATTCTGTTTTGAGACTTACTCAGAATTCCAAAATCTCTAAGTTATCACCACTGGCATCCCAGAGGAGTTTATTAACTACCAAGTTACAGCATAGAGTGGATGAAGCCATATTCTATCCCATCCTCTTGAAAGCAGATGTGTAAGAAGTGGGTAAGTGGTGGCGAGAAACAAAGATGTCATACAAAAAGGATTCCATATTCTCCATTGTCTCTGGTGAGACAATGAACGGAAATCTGTCCCTGTTCCTAGGTCTATGCCTAACATCTGCTTTAGATAGCCATTGGATTAATAAACAATGCCATACCCAATTGGAGACCCTACCCAAGATTTCCAAGTTACGGGCAGGGCATGTTAATGATTAAACATAAACACTTACTCCCCATCCCTTACTCACCCTCAGATCCCAGGCTTTCCTGCCAGAAAAAGGGTGTCTCCACAATGCCTATTCCCGTAATATCTTCTTTTTGCATCAAGCACTTAGAACTCTTCTGCACCATGGTAGGGTAGTTTCCTTTGTAGGAGGAGTTGAACAAGGCCAGAAGCCCTTCAGTGGATTTAAATTTGTGGATTAACACTCCTGAATTTAGCTGTCTATGTGTAGCTGCAGACCACTATCTAAGCTTCCATTATAGCTAATGGTAAGCTAGTCAATGCAATTAATGGGCTACAGATTGCTTCTGCTGATGAAAAATACTTATCTCTTTTCTTATCTAATTATTTTCTGTTTATCAGTTTTAGAGTGATCTGAACACTTATACAACTGAATGGAGCCACTAGCTCCCATGTAGAGAACTAAAATTAGATGTTTTGGTATGGAATCTAAATCCTAGCCCAGATGACCTGTCTTCCTAGGTTAGAGATTTCATAAATCATCTGCTGTAACACTATATGATGTTTTATACAGCATTTTACAAAGAATGATGTCTGCTTAAGTGAGATGATCCACCTCTAGGAAGTTCTCAGAAATTAGTACAGTCTTTTGTAGCCATTTATGGCAAACTAAGAAGTAATTATGTCATATATCCTTGTTTAAGTTACTCACAGTAGGTGACTTTCTGCAGCATGAGAGCTTCCAGCAACAGTCGCCAGGAGTGCTTAATCGCTTTTCTTGACTGTCAGGAGACTCTGGGTTCCTAATTTTATACACTGAATCATTCCAAAGGGACAAAGTGCTCAGCTTTTACGTATTGCGATTTTTGAGTCAGAGTCATTTACCTATGCATTCTAGCCTAGGCATTGTTTAAGGTTATGAATAAATTTACTTCTGTGTCACAGTTTTTTTAGCGTGACACGTTATTGCTGCTGATATATTAGACTAAACAGCCAAAATACTTTTGTCTCATGTTGGCAGTGATCCATTTTCAGAGGCCTTAATTATTCTATTTAAACTGGTTTGGGGACATCCACTTGGTTTTCTGATGTTAACTCACTTAGTAATTTCCATTTATATTTTTTGATGTTGACTTTCACTTCTCAACTTTTTCCCCTTTTGGCATGATTGCTCATTACAGAGCTAAGGACTCCAAGGTTAAACATAAATAAGCTTTTCTTGGATTTCAAAAAGAAGTATTCTTTTTAATTTGTTCACCAAGAACACCAAAATAATGATAAATACTAAGAAAAAGGATAAACAAAATTTCTAATAAACATACTATAATCCTTTCAATAATCTATATATATTATGTATACAAGACAAAGGACTAAGATGCAATTAAATCTCTTTGTTCACTTTTAGTTCAAGTCCTACTCCAAATTTCATATTTTACATGTATATCTACAGTAAGCAGAATCAAAACCCAAGTTTGCCTGAGTATTGTGTACGTTCAGAGGTAGATAGAGATAGATCCAAAGATTTTACAGATTATTCAGTGGTTTTAATTTTATATTTTGCCTGTTTCTCTTATGAAACAAACAACAGTGTATCTGTGTAGCTGGCACACTAATATCTTCTTTAATTGTTTCCTGCTGTAAAAATAGATTTTTAAAACATTATTCAGGAATAGTACTAGTTGCCATTTGCTACTCAATACGGGGAAAATATGAAACATTCCTAAGTCAGTAAATGACAAAAGGAAGAGATAGAAGGAAATCACACCTCCTCAAAAGGAAATCAATTTGGAGAATTAAAGTGAGGATTTGTCATGTTTATAGCACTTCGCAGCTTGACATTAGTTTCTAATACTCTCTCGTGTATTATGACTAAGATTTAACGGAAAAGTTTGGTAAGAAATTTTTTGAAACAAACCCCCCATTATTCTTGAGAGTGATGTTATACTTGAGAACAAGCATCAGGTCTGAATAGAAACAAAATAAAACTTTTAGGAAAGTTGAAATAAGGCAGCATAATTTTTCCCTTCTCTTTTCTATTATAACTGAATGCAGAAAAAACCTGCTACTGCTCCTCATGTGATTATATATATCTACCTGTTGTTTGAAATATTAGCAGAAATCACCTGTCAATGATTAAGCTACTCCTAAGCAGATGTCACATTTGTCTTTTTATCAGGCATTTCACATTATTTTTTCAAAGATGACAGAATGGCCTCTCAATGACATAAAGCAGCTCCCTCAACATGCTTAGATGCATCCCATCCTGTTGTCTTGAGTTGCATACATCCAGCTCAGCTAACTTGTCACTTGTCAATCCCCCTTCACTAAGGGCAGCACATCTTTTCCTCAAACTTTCCTGAGAGGCATAAAGATCTGGGAGACATAAAAGCACAGCTTGCCTGTAAAGGCTGGGATAGAGAAAGTCCTAAGTGTGTTAGTCCTTTCCATGTTCCTCATCCTTAGGTCATTTACTCATTTCAGCCGCACCCCACATTTTTCCTTGTCTTTGTTTAGTTGCCAGTGTGCCTGTAGAAACCTAATTGATTACCTTTAACAACTCTCAAAAGTTTCAACTGTAGTAACACTTTGGCTTTCATAATCCAATCCATTCATGCCCGAGAAATACTTCCATATTAATTCTTGAGAGACTGACCCTGTTTCCATATTTCATCTTTCCGTATATTCTTGCTTTTTCTATTAGATTTTTAGAGAATAATTTAGCGAGGAAGAAAATACTTAAACTGTTTTCTCTCTGTCATCTTGGTTTATCCTCTTTTTTTCCCACTTTTCATAATGAGTAAGAGAAACCTTTTAATAAAGAGCAATATGTTTAATTAGTTTTAAAATTAATATTATTTTCATAGAAATATAAATAAAACTTGTATGTTTTCTTTTTGTTTGTTTGTTTGTTTGTTTGTTTTTTCATTAGAGATTAGAATACTTTCCAAATAAGATTAGTATCTTAACATCTCCAGAATAAGAAATAAAGGCATTGATCAGCAAAGTCAGATAGACTACACTTAGATACCTCTTATGAAGAATTAGTTTATTGGTTGCTATCAAACAGCAACATTCTGGATCTAACATTCAGATCAGGATGACCGTACCTCGCTGACTGAAAGAATCTAGGAAAGTGTATCATGAGGTTCACTGAAGCTAAGCCTGGTTATGTATTGGTTCTTAAATATTTTGTCCCAGACAATTCTAGAGAAAGAGCACTGGGCTAGAAGAGCTTTTATCCAAATCGGAATAGAAATTGCAAAGAAATCACCTCTTCCACATCAAAATTTTTCACCAGAAGAGTTCAAAAATGAAGCCAGTTCTCCTGTATCCCT